TATGTCTTCTGTGTACTCCTGGTCATGAAATCTCCATTGCTTGCAGTATTGAGATTGTTTTTAAACTCCCATTCTACTCCATCATAGAAGATGCTAAGAAACTGCTCATCTGAATACCCATGGTGAGGGCACTCTCTGCGATACTCCTTAAACCTCTCCCATGCTTCACAAAAAGATTCCCCTGAATACTGCTGGAAGGTGGTGATCTTGTTCCTCAAAGCAGCAGTTTTGGACTTGGTGTAGAAGTGGTCCAGGAATGCTGCTTTGCATTCACTCCAGTTTGTCAAAGATCCAGGTGGAAGGGATTTAATCCATCTCTGTGCCTTGTCAGCCAAGGAGAATGGAAAAAGCTTGCATTTGAGAAAGTCAGCAGGTACTCCATTCGATTTTGTTGTGCTGCAGATCTCCTCAAAATTCTCAATGTGATCTATTGGAAGCTCAGCAGAGAGGCCATGGAACAGATGATGCTTCACCAATGCAATCATCTGCGGTTTTATCTCATAGTCTGCTCTCTCAATAGCTGGTATGCCGATAGCAGCTCTGTTCCTGTAGAAGGTGTGAGGTGTATCCACATCCCCAATAGCTTGCTGTTCTTGATGCCGCTGTTTTTGTTGTTGTAGCAACCTGTTCAGCTGCTGTTGCATACGCTGGAGCTCTGTAGCCTGGTTAGCTTGGCCTTCCGGTAGATCCTGGTCGTCGATATTATCACCCATCGTGACTTGGTTCGACTTCTTTTTCCTTCCTTTGTTGTTTGTCCTTTCAACTCTTGCAAGTTCCTGGTTGTTAAGAAGGAGGAGGTTGTCAGAACCTTTACTTCTTCTATGCATGCACCTGAATCCACAAGAGTGAAAGAAGAAACTAGTTAGTAAATCTTAGACTAAACTTCAATCCTAGATTCACAGGTAACGCTATTGGTCCCCGGCAACGGCGCCAAAAACTTGATACACAGAGTTTTAACCCTATAGAACTACTGCAAGTGCACAACAAATGTTGTAGTAGAGTAGGGATCGAATCCACAAGGACCAAGTGTCACACTGCAAAACTTAATGAATGAAACTAAGCTAAGACAAGAATATGGGTTGTTGAATGTAATGTAAAACGAAAATAGCAAATAAAAACGGTTTAAAGACAGTAAAAGAAAGCGCTAGGTCTAGGTATTTCGCAGAAATTCAGAGATCAAGAACCAGACAATTATTCAGGGCAGATTATAGAACAATCTAGAAATCAAACATAAATGTATAATTAATCCACTTTCGTGGCATCAAAGACTTTGTCTAGCAACCTAAGTATCTAAACTTTCGTTTGAACTTAAAATTCTAAACAAGCATTAATGAACATGTTTGATTTGTTCACAGATTGCCTTAACATCAGCTTTCGTTGGCTAAGGACAATCTGCTCACCTATGTTCTATCAAGCAATCTAAAACATTTTCATGAATAGATTAAACCCTTAATCAGAGATTAAGTAATCAAATTAATCTAAGCAATGAGAACAACAATAGGTGAAGACAGCAGATGAATAATCCTATTTATGTCTAGTTCATTGATTCATGAATCCTTTGAAAACCTTAAACCTAACTATGAAACTACTCAGACATGAAAGCAGAGAAACAACAAGGAGAGGAAGAGAAATCCATAATCAATAAATAAGAAATCCAAAGGGGTTCAGAAATCCTCTTAAAAGATGTAGAGATTCTTCTCTCCAAGCTCACAAAACACAAAACCTAAAAGTATGAATGTAAAAGGAGAGGGTTGCCTAAACAATGGCTGAAAAACAAGTATTTATAGGTCTAGGAACGAATTGGGTGAAAAATTATCGTAAACCAAGTTGGAATAGGAAAAACTCGAAGTTTCCTTATTTCTGCGAGACCAAACTGGCTGGTTAAGACCTCGGATCGATCGATCTAAAATGTCTCGAGTAATTTTTGAACTTCGGATCGATCGATCCAAATCTAGATCGATCGATCTAATTTCTCTCGGGAAGTTCTTCGACCTTCTGCGCGCGCCAGACTAGACTGCTTTCACAAAAACTGGCATAACTTTTGATCGCACCGTTGGATTGACTTCAAACCACTTCCAAATGAAAGCTAACTCAAAGATGTAGCTCGTGTCCAAATTTCAGCTCGATCCATCGGTGGGAAGTACTTCAACGAATGCCAAACCTCAGACATTCCTGTATAGTTCTGCATCCACATATGTTCGTTTGCACCCAAAATGGTTATTTTTCTCCCAAACGATCTAAAATCTGAAAAGACTCGATAAAAAGACTAAAAGACTCTAAAAGCACACTTTGACTCGAAAAACCATTGAAAACCTTAGGTTGGAAAGCCTTAAAAACCCAATATATCATTTAATACTCATGTGTGTTGTGATGTTTTCTTATATAGAGATCCGAGTATTTAACTTTCTCATTAGTTATTTGGGATGAATGTATGTTTATATGGATCTTTTTGGTTTTTATTAAATGGATATTAAACTTTTCAATTAATGTAGAGGATAATGATTTTGGTTTTTCATTAGATGCACGTTGATTTTTTAGGATATTCAACGTTTGTTACGAAAAATAATGTAGAAGATTATTAAATTGAAATCTTATATTTATATTTGTTATTATTTTAAAACTAAACTAATCTTTTTAATTTTTGAATGTTCTACAGAAGATCACAACAATATTTATTATGTTATTATAATTTTGCCAACTAAAGTATGTGAAAACATATGTGCACGTAAATAGAGCACGCCTTTACTAAAAGTATGAATTATTTGGTAAATGATTTGATCAATGTGATTTTGTTATTATAATTTTTCATATTGAAGTATATAAAAATATATGTGCATGTATTCCATATGAATATAGTATTATAATATATATATAGATATGTGTGTATCTATATGAAAAGTCACAGTGGTCCATGACAGAGTTATAGTAAATTTAATAGGTATATAATATAGTATTATCTATAGTATTATAATATATATATATTTATATATGTGTATTAAAATCATCACGTTCAGCTTAAAATTTATCTATTATTATCCATATAGATGAATAATAATATATCAGGTCATTCGTAATGCATCTGGTGAATCATTCCAGATTTAGTTATTAGTATACTAAATTTTGTCATTTAATTGAATTTTTTATTAATGAAAATATCACAAAAATAATATTTTTGCCATGTCATAAACCACATGTGTTAGTAAATGCCATGTCACAATTACATCATCATTACACATCATCATTTTCATGTCACATTTAATAAGGATAGAGAAAGGATTTTAACCAATCAAATTAAAACAAATCAGTATTTTTCATTAAACTACATTCTCAATTAATAGGTAGAGGATGCTGATTTGTTTTAATTTTATTGGTTAAAAATATCAATCTAACCAAATTAAATGTGACATGGAAATGATGATGTGTAATGATGATGTAATTGTGACATGGCATTTGCTAACACACATGGATTATGACATGGCAAAAAAAAATTTATGTGTTTAATTTATTTTAGTTCAAATAATTATTTTATGAAAACTAAAAAATTTAAAATTTAATTATTAATATTTTTTATCACATGCACAAACATATGTTATATTTTTTATTACATGCATAAATTTGTACACGTTAAATTGTATAAAAATTATATTATGCACCGACTATATAATCTAAAGTAACATTAATCTAACAATTAATGTTTAACTAAAGAACCCATTTTTGTTGTCCATACAAAACAAAAGCTAAACAAATATACAAAGAGAAGTTAGAGTATACCACGTTTTGTTAACCGAAGTATGATTATCTACTTTTAACAATCTTCTTGAGATTGTCTTTCCGCAATATAATCCAAATCAACATTAATTGTATCATCAAATTGTATAAAAATTATGAGAATTGTCTTCATCACATACACCGACTTTATAATCCAAAGTAACATTAGTAACAATGTTTAACTAAAGAGCTCATTTTTGTTGTCTACACGAAATAGAAGCTAAACAAATATACAAAGAGAAGTTGTAATATATTTAAGTTCAAATAATTTTCTATGTTTAATTTATTTTAGTTCAAATATTTGTTTTATACAAAGAAGTCTTCGAGAATTTATAGGCTAAATATCTGGATAAATTGAAGAAGATTAATTGAAGACGAAGAAGATGATGAAATTTGCAGATATGTACGCCTGGCCCGCAAATCCGCAGCATGTAACCCGCTCAACCAGCTATCCATAGGTCTGACCCATTTGGTTTTTTAACATAATAAAATGTGCATTTTGTTATAATAAAATGTTTAGTTAAAATCAAACCATATTTTGTTATTAGGACCTCTAATTTAATTATCCTACCTAATTTTTTATATATTACAAAAAATTAAAATATATATAACGATTTAGATATTATATTTATGTAAATAAATTTTTAAAACTGTTTATCCTGCACATGCTTGCGGGCCAAACTCCTAGTTAACATTTAAATCATTAGAAAAGGATAGCGACGAATTCAAACTTCCTTCTTAAAGCCTCCGGCGACTAATACTCATTCGCACTCATTCTAAAATCTTCCACTTTACATAATTTCAATACATCACATTCATCATCTTATCCATTTTCCTAGAAATTATAGTCTGGTTTTAATTCCGTTTTTCAATTAAGTTTGTCAAACCAACCGATTTGAAACCGATGACTACATTGTTTTATTAAGTAAAAGGATAAAATAAACAAAATTTAAATGCATCAACAAAGTTTATAGAAAATGAGAAATAAATATAAGATTCTTTCTCAAAAATCAGTCTTTTCGGTTTATAAAAATCAGGTACTCCATTAACTCTCCTCAAGTGATTGATGTATCAATATTTGAGATCTTATGATTCATGTAAATTATGTACTTATGGTAAACCCATTATCTGGTACTCGAGGTGGTTTAGTTTAACCACACATAATGGTTTAGCTGAAAGACGTGTTTCGGTTCACTCTTTAAAAAAAAAAAACTCGTTTTGGTAAAACTAAATTGACAAAGGAAGCCAAAACCTTCAAATTTCAAAACCGCGTATTAATCGGACTTTTCATCTCTACTCGTTCGATAAATCAATTGTATAAATAACACTTGTAACAAACGCAAATTGGATCAAAAATATCTTTTTCGTTTTTTCAATTTCAAATTCCTTAAGAGTTTGTTGATTCGAAGATTTTACGGCCATGAATGATCTGCTCTCTCGCTCTTTCAACCGCTCCGTCGCGGACGATTCATCGCCGCCGCACTCGCACAGCATCGAGATGCCAAAGGCGAAGTGCTCCGGCGGAAGCTGCCGCGGTGGGAACAACCTCGACAAGTTCTATCTCGACGTTGAGGAAGTGAACGGCGATCTGAAAGAGCTCGATCGCCTCTGTCACAGCCTCCGATCGAGCCACGAGATGAGCAAGACACTCCATAACGCTAAGGCTGTGAAGGAGCTGAAGGAGAAGATGGATTCCGATGTCTCGGCGTCGCTCAAGACGGCGAAGCGTGTGAAAGGAAACCTCGAGGCGCTGGATCGGTCGAATGAAGTGAACCGGAGTTTACCGGAAAGCGGACCGGGTTCATCGTCGGACCGGCAAAGGACGTCGGTGGTGAACGGGTTGAGGAAGAAACTGAAAGATGCGATGGATAATTTCAATCGAGTGAGAGAGACGATCTCGACGGAGTACAGAGAGACGATTCAGAGGAGGTACTTCACCGTCACCGGCGAAAATCCCGACGAAGATACCGTCGATCGCCTCATCTCCACAGGTGATATATAATTTCCTCCGATTTGTTTCCTTATTTTTTGGTTAGGCTCAGATTTCAAAATTTAAATGTCGAAAGGCAAGAGAAAATAGCGGTAAGGTTGTTAGTTTTGTATGATTATAAACATGAGATACTGATGTTTAAATTATAAATATTGCAGGAGAAAGCGAAACATTTTTGCAGAAAGCGATACAAGAACAAGGTCGAGGTAGGATTTTGGATACGATAAACGAGATACAAGAGAGACACGACGCAGTGAAAGACATCGAGAAGAGCTTGAACGAGCTGCATCAGGTGTTCCTCGACATGGCCGTGTTGGTCGAGCACCAGGGTGAGCAGCTTGACGACATTGAAGGCAACGTCAAACGAGCCAACTCGCTTGTCCGGTCGGGCGCGGACCGGCTGGTTAAGGCGCGGTTCTACCAGAAGAACACGCGCAAGTGGACTTGCTACGCAATTTTGTTATTGATCATTATTGTGGTTTTGGTTGTGCTGTTTACGGTGAAGCCTTGGCAAAACAATGGTGGTGGTGGAGGAGCTTCGACGCGTCAGGCCACTCCGGTGCAAGCTCAGCCACCGCCACCTCCGGCTCTGACCCGGCGGCTACTTCGTTAATTTTTTTTATTTTTTTTTACTATCGGTCTTGGGTCTTTGCATGGACCTCTCTGCTTTGGAGATTGATTATTATAATGGTTTGTAATGTTTTGACTGGTTCAAGTCCTCGTGTACATATTCATGCTATCAGCATATATTTATTTGTTATCAGCTACGCAATAATGAAATTTACCATCAATTCCATTTTGATCCCTAAACTAAGTCAAATTTAATTTGCCACGGTCCGTGTTAAAAAAAATCAAGAAACATTAAATATAATAAATTAGGCAAGAAAGATTAATGGGCCGTGAGAAAAGCCCATTATTAATACAAAGTCCTATTGGAGGAGAAGAAAAGAGTTTTTGTTGTGTTGTGCCTTTTCTCTCTGTTTCTCTCCCAATGGCGTCGTTGAGGATGATAGGCAAGTCAAATTCAGGAATCTCTTTAAATTTAATTCTTCGATTGATTCTCCTCTTCTGATGGAAAATTATTATGTGTAACTTATCTGCTGTGTTTTTTGTTTTTTCTCTTCTTCTGATGTGTTTGTGTAAGATCAGACATAGCCGTTAACTTCACAGGTTAGTTAAGGCATTTCCGCAAACACTTTGTGAACATGTCTTTATCTGATCAAATTATGCTCTGAGCACATGAGAATTTTGAATTAAACAGATGGGATGTTCAAAGGAATTTACCATGGTAAGAACTGTCATCTCCCCGACATTGCCACGGTCTTGAACCGAGCTTGGTCTGCCGGAGTCGATAGAATCATAGTTGAGTCACTCTGATCGATTTGGGTTTTTCTTTTTCTAATGATAAGAAGTGGTAGAATCTGGGTAATTCAATTAAAAGTTCCATTTTTATTGATCAGGTAACTGGTGGGTCATTGAAAGAATCGAGAGAAGCTCTTGCAATTGCAGAAACTGATGGTTTTGTTTTTGCTTTCATCTGTTTATAGTCTTACTTTCTCAGAAAGTTTCCGTTTTTATTTAAATACAGTTGATTTACACTTGCAGGGAGGCTGTTTTGTACGGTTGGGGTTCATCCAACTAGATGCAGTGTCAGTTTCTTCGTCCTTTAACGTCTCTTTTAAAATTCTCAGAGTTTCACAACATGTAATCAAACTCTAATCATCTTCTTGGATTGTTCTTTAATGCCATCTTCTTCTTTTTTTCCACCAGGAGTTTGAAGAGAGCGGCGATCCAGAGAAGCATTACGAGGATCTCTTTTCATTAGCCAAAGAAGGGATTCAGAAAGGGAAGGTGCTGTTTCTTCTCTAGTAGATAACTTCGAATTATGATTTAGGTTTCATATCGCTTTTCTTGTTGATCTCAATCAAGATCGTTCATGGAACACTCTTCTGCTTTATGGTTAATTTAGGTGGTAGCAATTGGTGAATGTGGATTGGATTATGATAGGCTTCAGTTCTGCCCGGCTGATATCCAGAAGAAGTAAATTTGATCATAAAAAAATTGCATCTTTCGCATGTTTTTAATTATTTCTGTTCTTTCTCTACTTACAATATCTTTATAATGTTGACTTCTGTGAGAAAGGTATTTTGAGAAGCAATTCGAACTAGCACATGCTACAAAGTTGCCTATGTTTTTACATATGCGAGCAGCTGCTGCAGATTTCTGTGAAATTGTTGAAAGAAACAAGAGCAGGTGAACTTAATGGTTTCTCGAGTTTGGTTTACACAAATTCCCTAGATTGCATTTTTTTTTAGTCATCTTAATCCATAGTCCACTCTCAGGTTCACTGGAGGGGTTGCTCATTCATTTACTGGTAGTGCATTGGAGCGTGATAAGCTTCTTTCTTTCGATAAAATGTACATTGGTAAAAGACTTCCTCTAGATTTCTATCATTTGATAAAGACTATGCCTTTAGGCTTTGGCTCTCCTTGACGTATTTGTATTTGCTCATATGATTCTATTGTTAGGTATAAATGGCTGCTCGTTGAAAACAGCTGAGAATCTTGATGTAATGAAGGGGATACCTGTAGAGAGGATGATGATTGAAACAGACTCTCCGTACTGTGACATAAAGAACACACACGCTGGGATCAAGTTAGTGAAGTCGACTTGGCCTTCCAAGAAAAAGGAGAAGTATGATCAAGAGTCCCTTGTCAAAGGCCGTAACGAGCCCTGTTTAGTTCGGTGAGTGTAGTTTCGCGACTGAACACTTTAGAAAACATTCTTTACAACACTTTATTAGGAAATCTTTTTCTTCTCCAGGCAAGTTCTTGAGGTGGTGGCGGGATATAAAGGACTTGGCGATCTAAATCAACTTAGCTCAACTTTGTACCACAACACTTGCAGGCATGTTTTAAGTACATTTCGGTTTTACATAGTTTTGAAATTAGCAACAGAGAATAGTTCTGCTGTGAAGGTTTTGGCCTGATGGATTTTGTTTATATTTGTTGCAGAGTTTTCTTCCCTCAGGACTTGGATTCTGCTGCAGATGCTCTGCTTTCGGGTCACCACGAGAGCCACTAGCATGAAGTCATGACCAAAAGAATATGCATTTTTCTCTGGAGACGAGAGATTTTACATTACACAATTTATGGAATAAACATTTTCTGAATAAGATTACAGAAAATCTCCTCTTCTCTTTCTCATATATCTTCTTCTTCTCTAGCCCCAGTACAATACAACAACATTCATTTTCTGGCTCTCAAGGTTATCAGTCTGAAGCTTGACCGGAATCTATTGTAATTTTACATTGCAGCGTTTATGGAATAAGATACCAGAAATTCTCATGTTCTTTATCTCAAAATATAAATGCCCTACTCTTATAAACAGAGTTATATAATGGTTAGTCTTCCTCTTCTTGTGTACCATTAGACAAAACATTTCGCAGCTCTGCAGAGGCTAAGAAAGAAGAAAGCTTCTTGTCTAGTTCTTCATCGGCACCGGACGAAGGAAACTTGTCTCCCGGACATTGACAATGTCGCTCCTGTCATTCTATCTATGTAATCATGCAACAAAATTCACTGGTTTTTCCCGAGTTCTCATCACTATTGTTTTGCCTCAACGATTTTAACAAGTGATGACCAAGTGACTTGAAGACCCTGTGACGATGGAAACAACACAGCGACTTGAACAAAAAGATGGCGAAAGTTCTCTCAAGCGTTTGGAGAACTTAACCATGTTCTTTACCTGCATAGCTACGTTCTCTATGATCTTATTGTAGAGTAGGTTATCGCTTGTTTCATCTGCCTACAACTTTCCGCAACACAAAACGAAGATTCAGGTGAGTAACAGGTTCAACCGTCATCATCATTATCCACAAGATAGGGTTCTTGAGAAACAAACCTAGCGAGCTCAATGTCTTGTAACTGAGTGATCCAACCATAGTAATCTGAGTTGTACCGTAACAACAGGTATTCCCTCGAGTTCATATATATCGTTGAAAAACCGAGATTCCCAGCTTTCAGAACTTTCTTCTCCTTGGCCTCAAAACTAACCACAAAAAGTCTCGACATTCATATCGAATTTTTTCTATCCAAAAGCTGCAAGAAATTCAGAATTTATTTGATACTTTTTGAGGAAAAACAAATTGCCTTGTGAATAACAAGAAAAATTATTGAAACCTTAACAACAATCGGTATAAACAATTTTTTAAAAAAATCAAAATTTTGAAACTCTTTTTTAAGCCACAATGCAATGTAAAACTTAAAACCTAAGCAATCAGGCCCAGAGAAAGCCCATCAGTACTAGAAATTCCGCTGAAACTCTTTTGAAGCCACAATGCAATGTAAAGCTTAAAACTTAAGCAAACAGGCCCAAAGAAAGCCCAGCAGTACTAGAAAGTCCAGCGGAAGAGAAGAAAAGTGTCGATATTTGAGAACGCAATCTTATATCTTTCCCTTTAGGCGAGGACATTAATCTAGGGTTCATAGCTCTCTGTTTTTTTTTTTTTTTTTTTTGTGTGTCTCTGTGTTCATTCTCATATTCTTGGAATTTCGTATCTTTTTCGGCACCCTTTTCCGCTGGTAGCTACAATTGAGTGGGTCGATTCAATTCCCGAAGACTAAATGGAGCCGAAGACTGGTTTTTCGATCTCGGATCTGCAAAGGTTGTACCTTTTGATAGGATCTCGGATCTGCAAAGGTTGGACCCTATCTCCTCCCTCTTTCTATCTCTTCCCATCTCAAATTCTTCTGTTTCTCATCTCTTTTCTTGAATTTTCTTGTTTTCTCATTTTATTTGGTTTTGATAGATATATAACTTTCTTTGAAGCGTTAGTGTGTAGACCGCAGAGGATGTAGAGATCTATGTGTTTATGAATAAAGATAATTGATTTATGTTTCCTGATGGTTTGAATTGTCTTGTCCTTTCTTTTTCTTTTTATTATTGGTCTTGATTGAAAAAAGAAGTTTTTATACAGATTTTTGATTAATCTCCACTTTCTAGGATGTTGTTCTCTGAGATTAACAGATCCAGGTCTTGATTGAAAAAATAAGTTTTTTATACAGATTTTTGAACAATCTCCATTTTCTAGGATATTGTTATTCACCATGCTGACTTCATGCGTTACAGAGGGTTAATTGACTTGTTTTTGATGTGATAGTTTGCGGATTTGCTTTTTAGTTTCGAACTTCATTCATATCTAAATCCATAGATCTGCACTGAAAATTGCTTTTGCATATCTTTTTTTAGATTCTCCGTCTCTCTCTCTCTCTCTCTCTCTCTCTCTCTCTCTCTCTCTCTCTCTCTCTCTCTCTCTCTCATTGCTACTCGGGATTTCTCAGTTTTTCGTTTCTTCAATTGATTGTATTCGTCTAGTTGCAATGTCCGCTTTTCTCGTACGGCATTTTTTTTTTTGAATTCCTTTGAGCTCGTATAATCAAATTTTAACTCTAAGATGACTTTATTTTACTAATGGCAGAGCATGGCCAAGTCACATGAGAAGACAGAGATGCGTAAAGGTACCACATTTCTTAGCATTTCCTTTAATTTCTTTTTTTTGTTGTAAGGTTTTGAGATCAGACGGATTCAAATGTCTGATTCTTTGACAGGAAAGTCTTCTTTGACAGGGAAGACTTTATTTGCATCATCGTCCTGTTTCGGATGAACTCAACAGTCGCTGAGTTTGGATCCAGAAACTAAAGCATGTGGTACAGTTTCCTCAGCTTAAGTTATACTTTGCGGAATTTTTTTTCTTGTGACATGAGCTCAAATCTCGTGTTTCTGAGTGTGGTTGGTGTTTCAGGTGGGTCGAGGAGGATGAGTCAATTCTACTTCCCGTTAAAAAGCTTGTGGGTGGGCTTATGTTAGCTGGAGCCCCTCTGACACACAGTGAGCGTGTGTGGGAAGCAATGAAGATTGCTCCGCGTGACGTGGAGTCCATTACACTTTTCAGGCTACGCCATTTGATGCCTGGGGAGCAACAGAAGCTGGTGACAAACATGATACGCTGCACCAACCCTCTCTGATTTCTCTTCTCTTTTAAAAACTGCTACTTTTGCTTTTGGAACTCTTGATGCTTTCGTTTGCGTTCTTTTGATGACTGGTGACATGGTTTCTTTTATTAATGCTTTCTAAACTCTTCTTTCTAAACCCATAATGCTTTCTAAACCTCTTATGTTGCTTAGTTGCCTGCAGCTATAATTATACAAATGTTGAACTTATAATTTCAATTTGGTTCCTAACCGAGAAATTAAGCAAACATAGCGGTTTTGCCGTCTTTTGTTTATGAATATATTAGTATGGCTTTTATATCACACTGATGACACTTCGTGGCCCTGTTCCTCGAGCTCTACAGCAGTTGACCCTTTGGTGCTTCATTTATAACATGATACACCAAATCATCATCTTGTTCTAACATGAAACCTTGACTTCCTCATTGATATAAACTCAAGTGATGCTGATGCAATCAACAAGAGAATTGACTGAAAAATCTTGACCGGATTGGCTCCACTTCCAATGCTATTGATTTTTTTTTTTGCCACACTTGCTCTGTTCCACATGTATACATTCATCCTTAGCAGTTTTGGTCAAAGAGTCACTTCCTTGATTGACATATACAGTATCTTGATATTGTCCTACGCTTGACTTTTGGGACACTAAGGTTACACCATCAAAGACTTTGTCTGATTATTCTACTTGTGAATGGGTGCTACATGTTATTTGAGGGCTTAGAAACAAAATAAAAAACAAAAACAGAATTTGAAGGCTGAAATATTATCATTTTTGTATTAAAAAATGTTGCAAAAGTCACTCAGGCTTCCAAATACATAATGCTCTCAGAATCATCGCAATAACTCATATGCAAAGACTGTGTGTCAAAAGGGCGGCGGTCCAGTAAATCGCTTAATAGAAGCCCACTTATGAGCTTACTATTCTCCAAATCGAAAATGATGTGCATTGTCGAGCAAGCATTAACGAACCACCTAATGGTACCCTCACGACTGGTACCCTGCATGGAAAACTAACCCTCGAGGAGGTAACGGATGTCAGAGACAGGCAAAACAAAAGTCTTCTTGTTCGACCATTGACTCTTCCCGGGATCCTCCACAACCCACAGGTCCATAGTACCTTCAGTCGAGAGACGGGAGTAGTCAAAGACGGTAACTTTTCCTCTATAGTTCATTAGGTTGGTGGCACGCGTGTCCCACATGATGCCAGCTTCAAGGGGCAACTCAATAAAATTGAAATCCTCACGATTCATGTCAAAGCTCACAAGCACACATGTGCTGCTCTCACCGCCAGTCAAGGCACCATAATACAAAACGCCGTCGATGGAGATACCTTGCGAGTAAGGACGGTGAGGAGCAACGCTTTGGGTGATTCTCCTCCAAGAAGCTCCGGGACCAAGTACCAACACCTGTTGCTCCCATCTCTCTTGTGTGATCCCCCACACTAGGCTAAGCACTTTGTATTCGTCCTGAATAGGATCGTACCCAAAGTGGTTCCACATACTGGAATCATCATCGCTCGATTTAACTAATGGCAGCTCCACGTGCTGCTTGGTGGTGAGGTTACAGATCCTCAGTCTTCTCCCACCAGTTCTAAAACACATCAATCCCCGGACAGCATCCACGAAGCAGCCCCCCACTCCCGGTATGCTCACGTCTTTGTCCAGTACACAGAACTCCCTGGCCGCCAAATTCTGAGGCGATGCTGAGAGCAGTGCATACTCGCCGTGGCCGTCCTTGACCACTAGATACAAGAACCGACGCCGTTCACGTAGCCGCGATGGAGCTTTACTGAAAAGATTAGCAAGATAACGAGAGGAGATGATTGAAGACCAGTGCTTCGAGACGCACTTGAACCTCATCAATGAATCCGCCGGCAGTCTCCACAGGATCTCCACCAACACATCCTCAGGGAACTCCGCAGCGGCTACGGCGACGGCGGGTCTTGAATCGGGCTTGAAGAGGGCTCCTCTATTCCTTTTGCCTCGTCCTTCCAGCTTCGACCTTTTCATCTTCTTCCTCAATCCAAAACGAAAGGACAATCCCATCTGGCTGCTGCAGATCTGTTTCAAAGTCTCTTTTTCTTTTTGGTTAGGCCAAATCGTACTTGTACTTTCCAGAAAAAACACAACCTAAAACTCAATGTATCCTAATGGAATTTGTACTGTTTCCCTTTTTCACGCCAATAAATATAGTTATCCTAAGATCCGGTCGAATTGTACTATTATTCACGCAATAACTTGTATTACATTTTTTACTGGCTCCGTAAAAGTATATATATACACAAACATCCAAATACATGAAAAACCTCTCGCTTTTGTCATAATTATTTCTGCTTTATTATTTGTTATAGAAAATAAAGCTTTTTTACATTTTTCTAGCTACTTTCATGTAACTCAGTGTTAATCCTTTGGCAATCCTCCTTTTTCATGATTAATATATATGTTAGTCTTACGAAACTTGATAATTCCAACTGGTACTATATCAATTGTCAAACTTCCAAGTTTGTGTTAATCAAAAAGGAACAATTTTTAACTCGGGATTTGTCTTCTTATTTTTGAAGTTACACGAAAAAACTAAACCTGAAGTTGTCCTTTAGGCCGTTTATTGTTGGTGTTTGGTCTTGCAGTCAAAACTTACATGAGGTTTCCTACGTAATTGGTTTATTATTATTAGTTAATATAGCTTTCTTTGAATAAGACAAAGGGTTCATGTTAAGATTTGTAAAACTGGTACTATATCAATTGTCCATTCCATATTTTCATTAAGACGAATCTTTTAAAATCTAGAAAAATAGGACGAGTACGAGGAAGACATAGAAGAGTGAGGCAGAGTACAAGAAGGTAGGAGAAAAGAAACTAAACCGAATAACAATATAATAAAATGTATAAATCACAACGATAAAATGAACAAAATCTTTTGGCAAGGAGATAGGAGACATATATATTGTAAATAATTTGTTTCGATTATGACAAACGCAAATCATACCATTTACCTGAATAAACATCTCCTGTTCTCTATCTCATACATCATCTTCTTCTTAAGCCTCAATACAATACAACAACATCGTTATCAAAGATTCATTTTCTGGCCCTCAAGGTTATCAGTCTGAAACTTGACCGGAATCTATCGTTCTTTTGCTGCTTCATGTACTAACGTTCGAAAGCACATCACTGCTCTCTTCAGTCTCTCCTTGTGCAACAGAAGAACGAGACTCAGTGGCTCTCTCTGAAGCCAAATTTAGCCTCAGCGCTCGTCCTTCAACTTCCTAAGAAACCAAAACTAACTAGTCTCAAACCCAAATCATATAACCAAACACAAACAGATTTATCCTAAAAGAGAGAGAAAAGCCTTACCACGCCATTCATGGCATTCAGAGCAGACTGAACATTTTCTGCTGACTCGAAAGAGACGAAACCAAATCCTCTAGACCTCCCAGTGTCTCTCTCATAGATGACTTTAGCACCAAGTACACCAGGTTGATCTGCAAACGCATCTTTCAGACCTTGCGAGGTTAGATTCCAACCAAGGTTCCCTGCATAGACCTTGTGAGGACTCTCAACGTAACTCCGGTTATCATCGCGGATTTTGGTTCTCATTACTTCTCTCTCTCCGCCTCTTGGCACCTCCGGGAAGTTCACTTTCACTGTTCTACCACCGACTTGCTACAATTCAAACAGAAGACGCACAAGAGATGAGAATCATCATCCTTGAGAGCTGAATCATCTTTGATACAAAACGGCAACTTACAGAGCTGTTAAACATCTGAATCGCCTCCTTGGCTTCTTCAATGCTTCCCATCGTTACGAACCCAAATCCTCTGCTTCTGTCAGTGACTTTGTCATACACAATCTGCAACAAAGAACAATGCCAGCAATTAGACATTAGCTTATAACTAGTATTCCTTCAAATTGAGATTCTTAATCTTGTATAAAAGGTATAATCAAGCTGATGAAATTGATAATCTTCAGCCTAATTTTGGTCAAACTCTCTACAGATCAACCGATAGAATTGAAAATTCGAAACAGTCTGAGAGAATTTCGTGATGGTGGAATATGAACCTGAACATCGACGACATTTCCGGCTTCTCCAAAAAGTTGAGAGAGCTCAGAGGAAGTGATTGTGTAAGGTAAATTCCCAATGTACAGCCTCCCTTCCTCACCATTCGCTTGCGCCGTCGGTTTTTCATCTGCGTCTTTTTCTTCTCCTTCTTCTTCGTCTTCTTCTACTTCATCTTCTTCAGGTGACGCCGGGATTTCGTCTTCGGCGGCGCAGAAGAAGCGGTGGCGACGGATATTCGAATGGAGGAGTAGCGAGTTAGGGCAATTGGCAACGAGTTTCAAGGATTTGGGTGCAAAGCGGTAGAAGAGTCGGAAATTGGAACGGAAGGAGAATAATGGATTAAACGTAGCGGCGGAGGAAGCGGATACCGCAACGGCGCAGGGACAATAGGCTGACGACATTTGGTGGGATTTTTGGAGGAGAAAGAGAATGGATAAGATGGAAGATTTTAGGGAAACGATTTATCGAAATTAACATTTACGAGCTAGCCCAAATACCATAGCTATATATTTTTTTTTTTTCCTAAGCAAACTGAACTTTTTTTTTTGTTTGTTTAAACGTCAGCTTCTAAAAGCAAAAACTTCTATTAAGTCCATGGCTCTGATTAGTTGTAGACTTATACTGTTAATATTGTAAAATTATAGACTGTAAAAATTGTAGTTTTAAAATAATGACAGTGACTTTAAAAATGAATTAAAATCATATTTTTCTAGTTTTTAACAAACTCATCAGTTATAAAGGAAAAAAAGAAAAAAATGATTGTGAGAATTTTTAGGAATAGTTTTATCACTTTTAAGACTTTGAAATTATTAAAGTGTGATTAGATAAAATATGTCTTTAAAAACTGTAATAATTTTAAAAAATTTTATGGTTTTTAAACTTTAATTGTCAATCGGTGTCATGTTCTTGAAATTTTTAGCTAAAATTTTGGAGCCATTTATAATGAAAAATGTTAAAGTATTTAAGAAGTATGTATCTTTGATATTTGTTAAATACTTCTACTAATTAAAATGTCCTTTAACAATAAAAAAAAAAACTAATTAAAATGTCATGACTTTTTATGGGATATTTTTCTTTATCACGACTTCAGAAACTGCAAAGGATATTTAAGAATAAAGTTTCTAATAGTGAAGTTTAAAAATATTTGCATCCATTGTGTTCTTCAACTTCAATGTGCTAACATTTTTCGTTCTCTTCAAATAAACTTTCAAATGTTATAAAACTTTGAGGATAAATCTTATGAAATTGATGTATTTTATAAATGTTTCCTTTTATTTGGTGAAGAAATCTCAAAACTGCTTATTATGAGTATATAGGTTGCTCATTATTTGTACAAAATTGGTTAGTTACTTTGCAATAGATAGCTTATTTGGTGAAGAAGCTATTAAGCCTAGATTGTTATAAAGGCAATTTTTTTTTTTGAAAGAAAAGAATTATTTAAATTTAATTAAAAAGTTCCATTAAAATGCATACATCAGCTATATCTAAGTTCATTTAAAGAATCAAATTTTCTAAAATCGAGGTAAATTGTAAGATCTGGTTACTAAAATGCAGGGAGATAATACCCCATGCTTCTTTTGGCTTAATAACTGATTAATGCAAAATATTATTTCATCAGCCTATCCAATCAGATACTAAATGATTCTTGTTCGTCTCTTCATGATAAGCTTTGTTAGACATCTTTTGCATTGGGAGCAACAGAGGCTCATCACTTCTGAATGATCTGTTTATTTGTGAACCTTGTTATTGATTTGTTTTCCTGAATGGATTTGTCCTCTTATTCGCATATTCATGTTTGTTAATCTCATCTCTGTTTACTTGTGGATCTTTCATTAACTAAAAAAAATTGTTTTCCTTAATTTTTGTTTATTGTGACTCTCCTCATACACACTCTGAGGATGTTTGGAAAGCACACCTCTTCAGGCTAAGCCATGATCCGCATCTCATGTGATGAGAGCAATATAGGTTCATCACCAACATGATCCGTGTATCTCTTTATGATCTCTTTACTTTTTTTTAGTGCATTCTAAATTCTTAATGCTTTCTTTTGATGAATGTTTAATCTATAAACCTCTTATTGTTGCTTAGTTTTCTTCACCATATATAAAGTGCTCGCTCTGGTAGAGATATTAAGTTTGGATATCGATCTTAAAAGTAGATTTGTTTCTGTGAAAAAGAAACTTTTTAATTAATAAAAACGAATTTGACTACTATAACTAAGCTCATATAAAAAATCAAATATCATGTATAAGCGTGGATGATATAATTATTATTCTAATGTTTCATTAATGTAGGCTTTTTTGTTAATCATGAGAAGTTTCACAATTTGTTTTGTTTCTGTTACTATCAAAAACAATTATTTTAATTTGATGAATTTTAAGTAAATATTTCGTAACAAACATCATTATCATTAATATTTTTATTTTATTTTATTTAAAATAATATATACGGTAACTTATACATCGAAATACATCAAAAAGTTTTTAATCATATATTTTAGTAAAATGTTAACTCAAATTTTTACATTAAACTTACTATATTAATCTACTGTTTTATCACATAATTTTACTGCAACTTGCATCAATTTATAACATCAATATTGAATTTAGATATCACCAATCAGAGCCTAGCATTCATTTAGTGTAATTTTTCAAAAAAAATATTAAATTATTTAAAATATAATTAACAAAAATAAGTAAAATCATTGATTTAAAAACAGAATGGTAACTTAAACTCTAGCTCACCACAATTTTGAGGATTTAAATTCTTTTATTTGTGTTAGTAATTTAACAAAAGAATAAGTCAAAAATGACCATAACTCAACATAACTCAAATTCAAAAACAAAAAAAGCTACTTTTGCTCTTGATTGGTAATATTTTTAAGGTATACTCTTAACTCAAATTAAATGAGTGATAACTCATGCTACCAATCAAAGATTGCGGTGTGTTAGAAGTTGAGTTAGATATTACCAATCGCGATAGATAACTTGCTTGGTGGAGAAGCTATCAAGCTTCGATTATTTGCAAAATATACATATTCTTTGGTCTATATAATTTTTTAACTTATTTAATGGACCCAAAAAGATTATGGTCGGAGCTAAATTATTAATAAGGCCGGCTCTGCTCCTCGGAGTCGGATCTAAGAGAACCTAAGGTGGTTTTGATTGATGATTTTGGGATCTAAAACACACACAAAATACAAGCGTGTACACCAAAGACAAGAAGTAAATGGGATTAGGATGCAAAGAAATGTGATGTTTAAAATGAGAGGTCCGAAATCGGCGTAAGAGGGGGAAGAAGAGAAGATGGTGGTGGAGGAGAGAATGATCAACGGTATTGGTGGTGATGGTAGAGAGAATTTGGAACAAAGGTGAGTTCAAAAGAGAGAAGAAGCGGGCGTGAAAGGGTTTTTGGCCTAAGATATTCGTCGAAGTCTTTACCGATCCATTAAATCCAAATCAAATGTTACTCATATAATAATCTGGTTGGATCGCACTGAAAAGAAAAAGAGCTATCATAATTTCATACTGCAATGGACCCAAAAATTAATCATTTACATTATTAAATTTTGTATGTTCACTTTTTATCGCATGTTTACAGAATAATAAAATTCTCATATCCGGATTTAATTTGGTCACGGGAGAAACCTCATTGACATGTGGGCAATTTTGAGCCTAGCAGTGTGCATGCTGCCTCCATCAATTTACCTGCAACATAATGATATAAATCAATTGAACATTGTTATCTTTCTAAACATTTTTATTTATTTCGATAGTCAATGTACTATATTACTAAACTAACAATAACAAAGAAGAAATTTTAAAATGATTGATTCTAAGTTCTAAGTTCTAACTAATGTTCAACATTTTAAATAAATATATGTAGAAGGAAAAAAAAAAAGACTTATAAACCGAAGACAAGGAATAAAAGGCAAGTCGTCGTTATCAACTAATATGAGTCACAACACAGCTCGGCTTTAGAAAAGGGAAAGGAGCACTTTGTGATTTTCATTTTCACTCTTAACATGGGATTCTTCGTCGGTGGATGATTAAATTTATAAATCCAAGTTACGCCCAAATAAATTATACTATCACATTGTTGGAGATATGTTATCATACTAAAGTGTTTGTTAGAGAGACTTTGTCTCCATTTTCACACGTCATTGGAAAACTAATTATATTGTATACCTTTATAATCATGGTTCAATTATATTTCCCATTAAATATATAAAAGTCACACGCACAAAATTCCCTAACCAATACTCCCTCCGTTTTTTTATAAGATGTTTTAGAAATTTTTTTTGTTCATAATTAAATGATGTTTTCAGAAATCAATGCAAAAAATAATTATTTTAATTTATATATTATTTTTTTATTGGTTGAATTGTTTTGGAATTGATGTTTTATTTTAGAAAAAAAGAAAATTAAATAACTTTTTAATCTCTGTGTAAAACCTTAAACATCATATATAAAAAAAAAGGAGTGAGTAAAAGTTATTCTAAAATGGTATAGATGTTTATGGCAAAATAAAACAAAACAAAAAGTTTGTAATAGTGTATATATTTGTTTAAGATTATGTCACTTGGGGTTAAAATGTCAAGGTCAAGTAGGTATGGACCAAAGATTTATTAAAGAGAATTAATTACCTCTCCTTGGTTTAGCGGTTTTTTTGACGACCGGACCGACGGATTTCTTCTCGACCGGAGTTTCTTCCTCGGGGAACAAAACGCCATCAATCCCCTGAACCGAAATCCGTCCGTCGGTATAGATATCAGGATCAAACAAATAAGCTGAACCGTCACCGTGACCGAATTTAACCGAACCGTCTGCCTCCTGAGCCGCTACCTTGTGAGGAAACCGGAGTGAATCGTAATGGATTTTACCAAACCGGCGCACGGAATTGTACATACTCTCCTCGGTTTGGTATTCCGGTATGATGTGGTAATACATTATTTGCTCTGGAGCTCCCGGTTCGCTCAATTGGTCAGTGGTCAGCTTAGCCATAGCTTCGTCGTTTGGAGCCAAAACGGTCAAAACGTAGCCTTCCGACACGAGCCGACCCATCTCGGTGGCTAGCGAAGTGAGGTTGACGAGAATGTCCGCCATTTCGTTGTATCCACCGTAGTGAAGCAAAGTGTGGATGAAATCTTTAACTTGAGCCTCTCCGTTGAAATGGTGGCGAGGCCCGCCCGGTCCTGGTGCCGGAGCTGGGGCGAGTGACGGACCGGGTGACATTGCGTCGTAAATCGGGAGAACCGGTGGAGCTCCGGCGGGGATTGGGTCAGGTTTTTTCTTGAGACGGTGGGTTCTCGGGTCGACCTCCGGTGCTCCTTCCGGTAATACGGCGGAGATTGAGCGGAGGCTACGACGGCGGTTGAAATCTTCTTGGACGGAGCGTGGGA